CACCTCGACGGACCTGCACTTGCGTCTCCAGACCCGCTTCCAATGCGGACAGACCCGCTAGACACGCTGCTAGCGCTGCTGCGCACGTCGACGGCGCCACTCGAGCCACCGGACACGACGCTCGTTGAAACAATCACGCCGCCACTGCTCTCGGCACCGCCGCCGCTCGTCAGCAACACCGAGCCGCCCACTGTCGCCGCGGACGACCCGCCGTCGATCGACACGTCGCCACCCGCGCCTTGAGCGTTCGCTGATCCGACAATCCTCACCGTCTGCGCCGCGGTCGCGCTGTCCACGCTGCCGCCACGCAACTCCACATCGCCGCCGACAGCACTGCTGTCGCCCTGGACGAGGCTCAGGCTGCCGCCAGAACCGCTACGGACGAACACACCGCTGCCACCAGCGGAGCTGCCAGAGGCGCCACTCGACACAGTCACGTCCCCACCGATGCCGCTAGAAGACGACCCGCCGGAAACGCTAACCGCGCCGCCAGATCCACTGGATGAGGAAGTTCCGCCGCTCACGTCCACGGAACCGGACAAACCCATCTGCGAATCGCCGCCAGTCACGAGAACACTTCCTCCCGACTCTGCCGTGCCGCTGGAACCGCCCGCCACGCTCAGCAAACCACCGGACCCCGTTGTACTAGATCCGCTGGCCACATTAACAGCACCAGATGCGCCGTCCACCGCAGAGCCAGACACGACCGACACACCACCAGACGCAGACGTACCGCTAGCAATGCCGCTTCCGACCGACACAACGCCGCTCGAGACACTGCCAGTGCCGCTAGACACCGACACCGCGCCGCCCGTCGACGAACTGCTAGAACCGCCCGACACAAACACACTGCCTGCTGTGGTAGACGCCTCGCCAGACTGCACGGACACGTCGCCGCTGCTACCCGACCCCGAAGAACCGGAAGACAGCGTCACCACGCCCGACGCTGCATCCACCGACGCGCCGCTCCCGATCGTCGCAGAACCGCTCAAGACGTCTCCGCTCGCAGAAGCACCGCTCGTCACGCTCACGTCGCCGCTGCCCAGCAAACCCGCACCCGAAGCAATGTCCACGACACCACCTGCGCCAGCATCGCTTGCGCCGCCGGCCAGAACGATGCCGCCTCCGGTCGCAGCGCTAGACGAACCGACACCGCCAGTTAAGGCGACGCCTCCAGCAACACCAGATGACGCCGTCAGAGATCCGCCGCGCACACTCACCGAGCCGCCACCCGTAGTGCTATCCGTACTATCGCCGGCAACAACTTCGACCGTGCCGCCGGCAGCACTGCGACGAACACCGCTCGACAAGCTCACCGCGCCGTCCTCGCCGGACGACACGAACACAGAGCCCCCGCGCGCGCTCGTGCTTCCAGTCGGCCCGCCGCGAATCTGCACGCTGCCTGCGTCCGACGAGTCTGAAACACCGCTCGACACGACCACAGACCCGCTCGACCCGCTCGCGCTGCCGCCAGACGCAACTGACAACAATCCCGACGCGCCGGAGTCGGCATCGCCAGTGCTGACGCCCACGTCACCGCTCACGCTCGAGCCTGTGGCAGCCGCGCTCGACACCGTAACGACGCCGCTGCTCGCACTGGCCGCGCCGCTCAACAGCGATACCGCGCCACCAGCTGACGAACCACTGCTGCTTCCGCCGAGCACCGACACAGAGCCGCCGCTCGCCGCGTCGCTCGAGCCGCCAGCCACCGTCACGGAGCCCGAGTCGCTCCCGGTCGAAGCTCCGCTGCCCAGCGTCACATCGCCGGACAAGCCTCCCGTGGTAGCGCCACTACTCACCTCGACGGACCCACTGGCTCCGCTCGCACCAGGAGCGGATGACCCCAGGATCGCGTCACCGCTGATGGCAGCTGCGTCACTGCCACTACCGCTCAGCACGGACACCGAGCCGCCCTCCACGACACCGGTACCGCCCGACACGAATGCATGGCCGCCGGCACTGTCTCCGGCAGAGCTGCCGCCCTCCAGCCGAACGGCGCCAGCCACGACTCCAGTCGAAGACGCTGTCGACAGTGACGAGCCGCCCACCAACACAACATCGCCTGCCGCAGCTTGATCGCTCGAACCGCCGCGCACGTCCACGGCGCCGCCGTCAACGACAGACGACCCCACCGACACGCTAATGCTGCCAGCAGAGTCCGTACTGCCGGACCCAGATGCCGAGCCGGACGAAATCCGTACACCGCCCGACGCTGCGCCGGATGCGCTAGCCAGTCGCGCCTCGCCGCTGCTGCTTGGGCCTTCTCCGCTGAGCAACGCCAGCGACGCGCCGTTGCCCGACGCGCTTGCGCCGCCAGACACCGTCACGTCACCGCCCGTCGCGCCAGCACCACCGGCCAAACCCAACGAGCCGCCCAAGTCGCCCGAACTGATACCGCCGGACACGCTAACCGACCCGCCAGCACCTGCAGCCTCGCCGCCAGACACGCTCACTGACCCGCTCGACTGCGTCGACGACGCACCAGATCCGATCGACACAGCGCCTGACGAACCGGCCTCGACCGACCCACTCGTCAACGACACCGCGCCACTGCTCACGGAAGCCGCACCGCTGCCCGACCCGAGCGTCACTGCGCCGCTCACCGTCGAAGCACTTTCACCGCTCAGGATCGTCACGCTGCCGCCCGCCGACGAATCCGACGCGCCGCCCAACACAGATACGCTGGAGCCCTCACCCGTAGCGGACGAGCCACCAGCCACCTCGACGGACCCTGCACTAGCGTCTCCAGACCCGCTTCCAATGCGGACAGACCCGCTAGACACGCTGCTAGCGCTGCTGCGCACGTCGACGGCGCCACTCGAGCCACCGGACACGACGCTCGTTGAAACAATCACGCCGCCACTGCTCTCGGCACCGCCGCCGCTCGTCAGCAACACCGAGCCGCCCACTGTCGCCGCGGACGACCCGCCGTCGATCGACACGTCGCCACCCGCGCCTTGAGCGTTCGCTGATCCGACAATCCTCACCGTCTGCGCCGCGGTCGCGCTGTCCACGCTGCCGCCACGCAACTCCACATCGCCGCCGACAGCACCACTGTCGCCCTGGACGAGGCTCAGGCTGCCGCCAGAACCGCTACGGACGAACACACCGCTGCCACCAGCGGAGCTGCCAGAGGCGCCACTCGACACAGTCACGTCCCCACCGATGCCGCTAGAAGACGACCCGCCGGAAACGCTAACCGCGCCGCCAGATCCACTGGATGAGGAAGTTCCGCCGCTCACGTCCACGGAACCGGACGAACCCGTCTCCGAATCGCCGCCAGTCACGAGAACACTTCCTCCCGACTCTGCCGCGCCGCTGGAACCGCCCGCCACGCTCAGCAAACCACCGGACCCCGTACTACTAGATCCGCTGGCCACATTAACAGCACCAGATGCGCCGTCCACCGCAGAGCCAGACACGACCGACACACCACCAGACGCAGACGTACCGCTAGCAATGCCGCTTCCGACCGACACAACGCCGCTCGAGACACTGCCAGTGCCGCTAGACACCGACACCGCGCCGCCCGTCGACGAGCTGCTAGAACCGCCCGACACAAACACACTGCCTGCTGTGGTAGACGCCTCGCCAGACTGCACGGACACGTCGCCGCTGCTACCCGACCCCGAAGAACCGGAAGACAGCGTCACCACGCCCGACGCTGCATCCACCGACGCGCCGCTCCCGATCGTCGCAGAACCGCTCAATGCGTCTCCGCTCGCAGAAGCACCGCTCGTCACGCTCACGTCGCCGCTGCCCAGCAAACCCGCACCCGAAGCAATGTCCACGACACCCCCTGCGCCAGCATCGCTTGCGCCGCCGGCCAGAACGATGCCGCCTCCGGTCGCAGCGCTAGACGAACCGACACCGCCAGTTAAGGCGACGCCTCCAGCAACACCAGATGACGCCGTCAGAGATCCGCCGCGCACACTCACCGAGCCGCCACCCGTAGTGCTATCCGTACTATCGCCGGCAACAACTTCGACCGTGCCGCCGGCAGCACTGCGACGAACACCGCTCGACAAGCTCACCGCGCCGTCCTCGCCGGACGACACGAACACAGAGCCCCCGCGCGCGCTCGTGCTTCCAGTCGCCCCGCCGCGAATCTGCACGCTGCCTGCGTCCGACGAGTCTGAAACACCGCTCGACACGACCACAGACCCGCTCGACCCGCTCGCGCTGCCGCCAGACGCAACTGACAACAATCCCGACGCGCCGGAGTCGGCATCGCCAGTGCTGACGCCCACGTCACCGCTCACGCTCGAGCCTGTGGCAGCCGCGCTCGACACCGTAACGACGCCGCTGCTCGCACTGGCCGCGCCACTCAACAGCGATACCGCGCCACCAGCTGACGAGCCGCTGCTGCTTCCGCCGAGCACCGACACAGAGCCGCCGCTCACCGCGTCGCTCGAGCCGCCAGCCACCGTCACGGAGCCCGAGTCGCTCCCGGTCGAAGCTCCGCTGCCCAGCGTCACATCGCCGGACACGCCTCCCGTGGTAGCGCCACTACTCACCTCGACGGACCCACTGGCTCCGCTCGCACCAGGAGCGGATGACCCCAGGATCGCGTCACCGCTGATGGCAGCTGCGTCACTGCCGCTACCGCTCAGCACGGACACCGAGCCGCCCTCCACGACACCGGTACCGCCCGACACGA